CGCAACTTCTTCCGCGTTGCGCGCCTCGGCCGCAACCTTATCGGCTTCTCCCTTCTGACGATCGCGCGCATTTTGAGCGACCGCAATTTTCGACCTGATGTCCTGCCATTGCACGCCGAGCACGACGATCTCGACTGTAATCGACAGGACGAGGGCCGCGCGCAACAACTTGCGGGACCACGGCGAATTCAGCATAGCGCGCCGCCCGCACCCGGCATGCACGACCACCTCTTGGAGCAGTCAACGAGCTGGTCCTGACCGCCCGGTCCCTCCCTTGCTGCGCAGTTGGCAAGCCACAGTTCGATGTTCGCCTTGTGCTCGATCTCGAGCGCTTCCAACGTCGCCTTCTCCGCTTCCGCCTTGAACTTCACATCCGCATTCCTGGCGATCTCGGCAGCCGAGATGGCGACCGCCGACTGCTTGTCCGCTTCCGCCCGCTTGATCCGTTCGGCAAACCGTGCCGTGGCTGCCTCAACGAGCGCTTTTTGCTGCGAATACTTGCTTTCGGCCGCCTGCTTGATGCGGGCGTTTTCGGCCAGCGCGGCGGCAGCTTTCGACTCTGCGACCGTCTTTTCCGCCTTCGCCTTTTCCAGTACGTCGGCGTTGTCTGCGATCTCGCGCTTAATCGCCAACTCCTGCTTGTAGCCGTAGATGCCGATCAGCGTGGTCGCTATGCCAAGGAGTGTGGCGACCACGACCAAAATCGCSGTCAACTTGCTGGCGACCTCGGCKATGAGCGGTACAGCCGGGATATGCCCGGCATCAGCTGTYGAAGATGGAATATCGGACATGGCACTCTCCAAAATCATGACYAGGATATCGCTTGGCTCCAGGCGCTCAAGGCCAAACAGTGCACAAGGAAGAAACGGATTGCTCAATCTTTTGGCGAGGCAGGGTGTGCGCTCGGTGGTCACACGCCGCCGTTTCGGAGCTTCAGGGCCTACAGAATTTGCTGCAAACACTGCGCCATAACAGCGRCTTAGCGCYCTTAACRYGTTATAAATCTTGGTGTAATAAAGTGATCTATATTGCTATGGAGATTATTTATGTCAAAACCTGTTGATAAGAACGCACTTCCTCCGCCCGCYATRCCCGCRACGACAARMAATCTACGCGTGCTGATGGAACTGGGCGTGGCCTCGCGCGTGGAGCAAGCCAAAGATAAGTTCGCGCGCGACCTCGACATCGCTGTTTCACGCGATCCAGCGGTTAAGGAATCGCGCGAAAACGCGGCGCAGGCACACTGCAAGGCAGCACGGGCTTTTTTGAAATTGCCTGTGCCCGATGTCGCGGAAGCGAAGAAGTACTTCGAGAAGGCAGCCGCCCACAATCCGACCGCATGCCCCAAACCTGAGGGCATGTAACGGTCGCGGCTGAAGCGATCGCGCTTGCAGATATAGGGTTCTCGTTCGTACCTCGCTCGTCTGTCGCGCAAGCGTCGGACGCTCTTGCAGCCGGCAAGCAATCTATAGCACGGTAACGCCACGCTTCTC